CCGAATATTTGCCGGATTATCTGGATATCAATAGTAAATGGATATCCGGATAAATTCAGATACGGATAAATGGATGGAGGATTATCCGGATTGGAACTCTACATAAAATTGTTTTTTTTTTTTTGCCTTTCCCGATGGTATGCATTTAGACAGTATCAACTGTATATCATTTATCCAAAATAAAATTGGCTAACTTTGAGGCCCGCATTCTTTTCCATTTTATTTTTAATCGTCATTAAAATTTTATAAGAACTTTCGAATGCTAGAGAAATTGCAAAATGATAAAATTTCGGTGCGTCAAACATTTGATTTTGTATTAAAAATTTTACATGTGAAATATCGTTATTTCGAAATAAGGGTTGATTTTCTGAATCTAATACAGTCAATCAAGTTGATTGAGTATATACATGCGCACTTTGGTAACATGGAAAGTGATCTACATGTAAGTATGTACATAATTACATTAAACTTGTCAATGATGTCGCTTATATATGTTGCATTAGGATACCCATTAATTTCGGACGCCCATGTAAGCTATTTTTGAAAGATCGATTTCATATAACGCCCATGAGCGTTATTTCGCGCTTATACAGTATGTTGATAAAAGAATCTCGGATTTTCACATCCGATGACAGGTTATCCCTTGGCAGCACTCATATATATATATTCATAGACAAAAAATTTGCTAATAAATTTTATTTATAAATATACTAAGAGATATATTGTTGACTACATTTTATCACTAAGTTAAATATGCTTATATTTTTTTATTTATTTTCTATATCAGTAGTCCACGCTGCTTGGTCTTCTGCACGTTATATATATACTTTAAACAACCGTACCTACGGAAGGGATTTATTTCATTATGACTTACTTAATGGAGGATTATTTTACACTAATTCGCCATATGTACAAGAAGTAACATATATTGGTAAGGGGATTCAAGATAATCCCACTCACCTATTTTTAATAACTATGGATGGATACATGGAAGATTGCACTATGATGTTTAGGACAGAAATAGGTCAGAATTACTCCAGCACGTCACCAGCTAGACACTTTTGCTCTAAATCAAATTCATTACAACCGTTTACATTTAATATGACGTCTGTCAATATTTATTCTGGTGATCCTCCTAACCCTGACCACCCTATTGCACCTAGTGTTGTCATAGGATATTGTTCCTTAGGAATAAATATTGATAATCATAATAGCATTACACCCACTACGAATGCTTTCGAATGCCTTGATCAATTAACCTCAAAACCTCTTGGAACTCATTTTGGGCTTGTTCAAATTGGAAATGATGTGTCAAACTTTTTTGATATTAATGATTATTCACCCTCTACGATTTCCCTAGCTAATGCAGTAAACAATTTTGCTCAAATAGTCAATTCGGTTTTTCTCGGTGCACAAGACGGCTCTAATAATGCGATAAATAATATAGACGATATTAGAGCTAAACTTACTCCAGAAAAAATTAATAAAACACCAGATTTAGTTTTTGAAATTGTACTAGGAATATATGTTAGCCTGATGGGCACAGCAGTAGCTGCATTAGGTCCGAGTGCAATAGCAGGTGAAGTAGTTACAGCAGAAGTGGGTGCAGGAGTGGGTGCAGAAACGGATGCAGTTTATGTTGAAAATGAAGCTATTGTAGCTGAGGAAAATTTTGGTAACGAATTGACCTCATACGCAGAAGAAGTTGAACAGGAAGTAGGGGGATTAGAAAACGAAGTTCCAAAAATTAACGAATATGCCGAGGATCATTTAAATAAAGCCGAGCTTTCACTTTCGCGTAATAATTTGGATGGTTTATATGAAAATTTACAAAAAAGTAAGGAGGCTATTGAGGAACTTAAAAAACTTGGTGCATTAGAAGAAAATTTAGAATATCGTTATTTTAATATTTACTGGAGATCATTTGATAGATTTGCTAATGCCCAAGTCCAAATGTCTCCTAGAATGAGAGGGACTACATCGGCTATGGAACTTGTGCAGAGAGCATTAGGTTCTGGATCTAAATTTAGTCCATCAGCATTGAGGGGACCATGGCGACCGTCCGAGATCACTCCTGCAGAAGAAAGTCCTGGAAATATAAAAAGGGATTTGTTAAATAATAAAATAGGAGGAACTATTGATTTAGAAACGATATCTTTGAAAGAAGTCATGTACGATCTCGCAAATAATTTTAGTCAATCAATTTCTATTGATGATTTTAAAGATCAAGTTAAAAATGTACTATCGACAATTAGCACGGAACTTAAAAATAATATTGCTACCGATCTTAATGGAAGCGATATTTCTATCTTGGATAATTTCATTAAACCCAAGTTAGGAGTTACTAATGATTATGGTAAAAGTTTAACTAGTACTATGGCAAAGGATTTTCTGACAGCGCGTATAACAAGTATAGTTATGACAGGATTTGGTGCTGTCATATGTAATAATGATGTTGCACACGAATGTGAAGAATATCAGTGCTCTTGTAATACACCTATTGGCGATAATAATAAAACTTGTATATTTGCAGGTGGATTTGGACCTAATAATGCTGGAACTTATTATGGGTATAGAGATTCACATTTAAATCTAATTAAACAGTGGAACAATGTGGCAGGCATTTGCCAAAATGTCAATGGTTGGCAATTCAATTATGATACTTGTGAAGGATATTACAGACATGACAAATGCAAATCAGCTTGCAAGGGAAAAAATAAAAGATCTACTAAATATCTAAGTTGTGCAGCAACACAGAATTAAAATAAGAACTAAAAGATTCGTTTAATAGATATTATTTTCTATTACATGTTAATAATTTATTAAGTTTGAAACCAAGTTTCTTATATTACTCCTTAATGTTGATTTCAAAATTTAATCAAATTAATTCTTCGGGTTTTCTTTTTTTAACGTGTAATCACTTATCAAATCTATAATTATCGAATCTATAATTTTGAATTTTTATCGTAAAATATCATAACATCTTGCTAATATTACTAGTTAGTTATTTCATATTTTAATATTTGTTAACGTTTTGATTACTGATCTTTCATTTGTGTGCCTTTTGTCTTAACGACCTAGCGTCGCCCTCAAAAAATGGTAGCCGGACAGATCTGCCGGTTACATGTTAGTATGTGATTCGGATTTGATTATGAACAATTCAATTACTAATCAGAAAATGTCCT